GGGACGTCGGGCGGAGTTCAGAGGGGCAAGGCAGGTCCATACGCGCCGACCCAGAAACGTCTCGGGGACCGAGTTGGCCCGCGTGGCATGTTAACAGACAGCACAGCCCCCGGGAGCAAAACCGGCAGACTGGGCTCCACCAAAATGCAAAACTTCTGCTCTTCAGAGGAAACGGGAGGGCCAGCTGCACTGTGAGAAAACAAATCTGCAGAACGAAAGTCTGATGAAGGACTTGTGCCCAGAATGCACACTTCACCCCATGACCTGTCATCCAGGAAATGCGAATTCAAGCTACCAGAACCTGTCATTTAAACGCGTAGAATCCACTCTACTTCAATTATACCTCAATAAAGCTGCTTTTTAAGAAAAGCTACTCCCACAAGAGAGGCCAAAATGACAAACACACTAACAACGTCACGTGTGGACACACAGAGCCCCTGGAACCCTCCCAAGGCCGGCGGGGTGCCCGGGGTACAGCCTCCCTGGAACATCGCTCAGCCGTTCCCCACAAGAATAAACACGCACTTACCACTAGATCCAGCCCAGTCCTAGGAATCCACCCAAGAAAAATGAAAACAGAGTGCTTTGGACACAGACATTCGCGGCACAGTCGTAACAGTTCCAAACTGGAAACAAGCCAAACGTCCAAACACCTGTGGAAGGAGATGACCCGACGCGTGACGCAAGTCCGAAGGGCCGTTACTCAGCCACGGAAAGGAGAGAACACGGGAGCCCTGGGCCGAGCTCCCTGGGCTGGGGGCCCCGGGTCCTGTCTCCCAGCTCTGACCCCTCTTGGCCCTGCGAGCCCCAGCTCACGGTCCCCGCGGGTGGTGCCCACAGAGCAGGGAAAACAGGGAAGAGGGGCCTCTAAGCCAAGTGAGCCGGGCTCCCAGGGGCCCTCGTGAGGGGCAGCGCCCGCGCCCCCACCAGCGTGACGACAGAATACCACGGGCGTGGAGTAACCCCACTGAGCACGCTCCCAAGGCCGTGAGCCCCTGGCCCCGCGTGAGGGTTTCATGAAGACCTGGCTGGCTCCACGCCCATGGAATTCCAGTCTGACTTTTCTAGATGACAAAGGAGAAAGGACGCTCCACCGTGAGGAGCTTGGCCTCCTTCCCACACGAAGGACACGGCATGGCCCCGAGGTCACCCCGTGTGGGGCACTGGCCCCTCCCACCCGCCCCACTGTGCAGGGAACGTGGGGCCCCAGCCCGAGGACAGCACACACCACATTCTGCAGGAATGACGTGGCTATTATCCTTACATGTCACCACGCACCCCAGACTGTCATCCCGCGCGGAGGATAGTCTGCTCAGCACCTCTGATGTCTCCCGCCCTCTGCGCCAGCGTTCACAGCTGAGAGCAGGTGCCAAGGGAGCTGGGCACACTCCTTATACGGTGCCAGGCCAGGGATCGGGGCGGGCGACACCTCAGGCCCTGGTTCCCCTTGTGTCACCAGGAACAGGAAGCCCAAGGGACAGCCATGTCTCTGTATCAGCTGCCCAGTGACCATACCAGTGACCCGGCCTCGCCCGTTGCCTCCTCTGTGAGGCCGGCTGCCCACCCAGACCACGTCCCCAGCATCTCAGGGCTGCTGAGAATCTGAGTCAGGGTGCTTTGCCAGCAGACGGGGTCCTTACCAACAGGGCCAGGAGAGAAGAGTGAGCTAAGGCTGCCCCAGAGGGAGCCGCTGCCCCCCGCCCCCAACCCCGACTCTGGGCAACAGAGTCCTGTTCACAGAGTCAGACAGGCGGCCAGCTCATCCCAGGTGCCCCTGGCGGGCAGATGCTGGCCTGGCTCCGCGGCTGATGGCTGTGCTGGCAGTCCCCCTCCAACCCCGTGGCTCAGTGTCTGGGAC